TACTCTTGGGATTTGTCCACAAGCCTGTACTTTTGGCCTTTGACTTGACAGAAGATCCTTCAGTGGTGGACAAATCGGGATGAAGCAGACACAGCGTTCCTGCCAAACTGTGGTCTTCCCAGAATGTTAGAAATCTCCAATTGGTCATTATTTTTAGAATTTTTCTATAACAGTGACAATCTAGTAGGCTATGGGCCTATGGTAATGACTTGCTCTTCCTGGGATGGTTATTGTCTCCAGAAACAATAGGGTTTGCAGAATCGGCCACATGTAGCCATGGTGAAGAGCTCAGCTTCCAGGGTCTGGATCTTGGGTTCAAATCCTGCTTTGGCACTTGAAGCCACATAAACGCAGGGATATGAGTTATCCCCTTTGCCTGGAGAATGGGGAGTATTACTGGGTTGTTGTCAGAGTTAGCAGAGACGAGATGTGTCAAGTGCTAAGATTTGCACCTTGGCAAGGTAAGTGTTCAACGCAGATTCATTATTACTACATTATCAGGTCGAAAAGCTGTCATGTGAATGTTTCTATCCTTTTTATATACTTTGGCCTTTGACTTGACAGAAGTCAAAGAAGCTTTTGCCCATTTAAAATACTCATTTCCTAAAAAAGTAAAATAAAATACTTGTTTCCTTATCATTTTGTTGTTGTCAGAGTTCCTTAAATATATACAGATTACTTGTCTGACATATGTATTGCAAATTCCTTCTCTCAGCTTGTAGCTGACCTTTCATTTCTATGAGCAGATGCTTTTCATTTTGAGGAAGTCCAATTAAGATCTTCTTGTTTGTGACCCCCATAAGAGATTTTTGTCCCATCCAGGCTGTGAAGAGACCATCCTGTGTTTTTGGCAGGTGCTTCATGGCTGTACCTTCTATACTGAGGTCTCTCTTCCTTCTCAGCTGTGGGCACATGAAATTCCCTTTCCCGTTAGTAGCTGTTCCTGCAACTTTGGTTGAAAGACTTGGCTTTCCACATTCAACTGCTTCTGTGTCTTGTGGAAAATCAACTGACCGTGTGTGTGTGTGGTCTGTTCCTAGATTGTTTCATTCCATTGATTTGTCTGCCCTTATATCTTAAATTTACATCAGTTTTATAATCAGTCTTAAAATCAGGGACTGGAAGGTTGCCATCTTGTTCTTCTTCCAGATTGTTTGGCTACCTAAGTCCTTTGCTTTTCTATAAAAATTTTAGAATCAACCTGTAAAACTATTTTCTACAAAAATGTCCTACTGGCCTTTTGATGGAGATTGTGCTGAATCCACAGATCAGTAAAAGAGAAACTGAGATACCAATATTGTCAAGTTTCCCAGTTCCCGAACTTCTCTCCATCTGGTTAGGTCTTAAATTGCTCTCATCAATGTGTTGTAGTTTCTAAAGTTTTTAGTCTTATATGTCTTTTGCTAAATTTATTAGCATTTTATATTTTTATGTCATGGTAAATGGAGTTACTTTTTAAATTTCATTTTCTAATTGTTTATTCCTAATAAATTGGCACACAATTGATTTCTGGATATTCACCTTGATAAATTATTGGTTCAAACAGCTCTTTATTAGAGCCTTAGGACTTTCTCTAGCAATCATCTCTCTCAATTTTTTGTGTATATTATTTCCTTTTCTTGTCTTATGGCACTGACTGTGATCTCAAGAAAAAATGTTGAATAGAGATAGCAATAGGAGTCAATACCGATAAATTCTTGACCTTAGAAGAGGTAAAACTTGGAGTTTTACCTCTGACTATGATAAAAGCAGTAGGTTTTTCTTTTCTTCTTTTATAGATGTCCATCCCTTCCAGTCTTAATTTGCTGAAAGTTTTAAAATTTTTCTTTTACATTCATTTGTGGGTGCTACATTTTGTCAAATGATTTTTTTTTTGGTATCTATTTAGATTTCTTCTCCTTTATTCTATTAGTACAGCACATTACACTGATTGATTTCCTAATAATAAATCAACCATGCACTCTAGTAATAAATCCTACTTAGTCATCATGAATTATATCCTTTTTGTAAATTGTGGGGATAGATGTGCTACGAATTTATGCAACAATGTCTGTGAGGGGTCCTGGGGTATAATTTGCCCACACAGTTTAAGTCAGGTGCCTATCCTAGTGCCTGTGTTTGTTATGTCCAATTTCCTTTGCTCTGTTTCACCCTTTCAGCCCCCTTAATGGATGCTCTTTTGCTCAGGCTCTCTTTCCCTGTTCCATCTTCTGAGATCTACACACTCCTTGTTCTGTTTACCTGGCTGCAGCCTCTGATTGCTCTGACCTTTAATGATATGGGAGGAATCATCCCCACTCCCTGTCATCCCTCCCCCATTCATATATTTGAAGTCCTAGCCTCTAGGACCTTAAAGTGTGATCTTATTTGGGATTAGGGCCTCATAGAGGTAGTTAGGTTAAAATGAGATCATTAGGATGGGGGCCTGATCCCATATGGCTGTGTTCTCATGAAGAAGGACACAGAGACAGACATGGCCAGAGAGAAGATGATGTGTATAAGCCAAGGACCAAGGGCAGAAGCACATTCTTCCTTTACAGCTCTCTGAAGGAACCAACACCAGAACCATGACAAAATAAACTGTCACATAGCCACCTGGATTGGTGTATTTTGTTATGGTGGCCCTGGCAAAGGAGTTCACTTACACTTACTACCTAAGTATGATCTCATCTCAGTATTTGTTCTTTTTTTTTTTGGGGGGGGGAGGAGGGGTGGGTACCGGGATTGAACTCAGGGGCACTCACCACTGAGCCTCATCCCCGGCCCTATTTTGTATTTTCTTTAGAGACAGGGTCTTTTGGGCTGGGGCTATAGCTCAGTGGCAGAGTGCTTGCCTCGCATGTGTGAGGCACTGGGTTCAATCCTCAGCACCACATAAAAATAAAATAAAAAATAGAGACAGGGTCTCACTGAGCTGATTCGTGCCTCTTTTTTTTTTTTTTTTTTTTCTTTTTTTGCTGAGGCTGGCTTTAGCTCAAGATCTTCCTGCCTCAGCTTCCTGAGTCACTGGGATTACAGGTGCATGCCACCGCGACTGACTCAGTAATTGTTCTTGATTCTGATTCTTGGCTTAGTTTTGTCTCTTAAGACCCCTGTATCCCTCAGGATGGTAAATGGGTAAAAATCAGAAGGTGTATGTCCTAATTTATCCTTGAAGTGGAATAACTCTTCTGATCCTCAGATTCTATTACTGTGCCTTCCCTAAAAGCTCAGTGGGGTGCAGTGTGTGAGAACATCCCCATCACATGCAAGTCAGGCATCCTGAGTCCTACACATTCAGAACAGCTGCTCTTCCTGCCTAAGAACAGAGCCCCTGTGAGAGGGTTCTGAAAGATCCCAAGTTCAGAATTCCCCACTTCTGAGAGAGATCCCTGCCACCCCAGACTTCATTTCCATCATTTCTGGTTCGAGAGGCAGAAGGAGAGGCAGGTGACCAAGGAGCCACTTGGCTCAGAGGGGGGCACGTGAGGTGATGTTCCAGACTTTACATCTCCAGAAAATTTAACAGTGATTCCTCGGACAACTTACCTACTTTTATACATGTTAGAAGAAATAAGTTTGGAGCAATGGAAAGAAATTCTTTTAGAGAATGAACACTTCAGAAACACACAAGGGAAAGAGAACTTTAACTACCCACCAAACTACATTAACAAAATTGGTGTCTACCGAATGTGGCTTTAAACCATGTAAAATTAAATGTAGTTCTCTAGCAGCTTTCCAACATATTTTTTCTGTTCCTTTGTCTGTAAGATAATTTTGTTGCTGAGAATTAGGAAAATTGCTGTTTCTGTAATAACTAATGCTCTTATTCAACAATTTATAAAAATGTAACTCACTCCCAAATAGCTTACATTCTAATTGTATATTCTTATCCTGTCTAAGTGTTACTCAAAAAACTAAGTTTTTCAGTAATTCCTCTCTTTTCAGTTCTCTAGAATGCCTCCAGATGGCATTAAAACCCTTTCCCCCATTCCCCACCCCCCCTTTTTTTGGCGGCAGCAGAAAAAAATTAAAAATCAGCATTATTTTAACCATTTAAGGCCAATTACATTCATGAGCACATCAGAAACCACAACAATGGAATGGTTTGTAAATTTTAGGAAAATAACAAACATGAAATTGTATCCATTATGAAATATATAACCACCCTGTGCAAAGCAAAGAAACAGGTATTGGTCAAGGCAAGACACTCCGTGAGATACCACCAACTGTGACTGCTAATGAATAGCACTTTAAAAGCTTAGCAATAAGAGCACTGATCCACAGATTCATTCACAAAGCCTGCTTTATAATAACAAGACGCACTTCATTCCTCAAAAGTGAAGACTCATTAGAAGCAAACCTGTTGCCAATTCCTGCAGAGCTAAAACAAAGTCATTTGTTAGCTTGTGAGTTATTTTATTTAAATGTTGGTGTATCAACTTGGCATCCAATGAATCATCAAAAACATATTTGGGTTCCATGAATATTGATAGTAAAAAGATAAAATAGAGGAACACATGTTTTAGAAGTGCCCTTTCTTATATTTTAAAAACTGCTCTGTTAACTTAAGAATAACCAACTTTTGCGGTTCCAGAGAGAACTATAATTGTAATCCTCCCCACTCCCCATGATCCAGAGGTGAGATTGCAGATGGCAGGCTTTTAAAATGACATGAAATCTTCACAGGTGAGTGGGGCAGAAAGCCAGTATATGTGAGAGCTTCTTCAAGTCTTCTCACCAAATTCTAAAGGGTTCACCTCCCTTTCTCCCTGTGCACAGCCTCGATCTCATTAGATTTCTGCTTCATAAAGAGGAGCATTTGCGTTTCCTCTTACGATGCTAAAGTATTAAGACCTCAAAATGCATCTGTACCCAAAATCATTTTAAGAGACATTATCATGAGAAAAGAGAACCACCCCTGCGTCCTGGTCACCACTATTACGAGGTACTTGCACTGTTCCATTTATAAGGCAAATTAAAGGACAGTCATCTAGGACAGAAACAAAAAAGAGACTTACGATGTATTCGAAGTGCCATTGTCTGGACTCTCTGGCTCAGCATCACCTTTCTCTTAAAAAGGAAGTAGGGGAAAAAAAAAACGACATGTGAGTCGTGCAGTCTTAAGATTTAAGAGAGACTAAATATTTCTATGGTCCTATTAACAATCTTTCAAAATGTGCAGCAGGAGGCCTTTAAAACATTTTTTATTGTCTGAGAGCTGGATCCGCAAAATAATTTCGTCTTTGCAATGCAATTGCCCAGGCACCAATCTGTGGGTAGGTACTAAGGAGCTATTTGCAAACAACCAGAGGTGCAGGCTAGAGACCTTGCCAAGAGATGAATATCTTACAGATGGAATCGGTTTCTTTCCACTTCATTTTACAGAAAATTTAAAGAAAATAAACCCATTAGCATTCGACTTCCAAGGCACTTTGAACTTTGATCCCTCCTGCTAACATAAGCCAAATGGGGTCTGGCTGAAACAGAACCTGGATGAGAGAACTTCACAGAACACTGAGGTTGCAGTCACGAGACCCCCAATAATTATACCCCATGGAGAATTACAGTCCTGGCAGCAGGTTGTGGGGCTCCCAAGTTAGAGCCAGATAAGATGTAAACCAGAAATCCTTCCTGCCCATCTGAGAGGATGGAGAAAGAAAGGTTTCTGAGGGACGTGGCCATTGGGGACTTGACGGTTTTTAGTTAGGGGATCCTGGGACTAGTTCACTCTTCGTAGTTTTAAAGTCAGATGCAACAGGCCTAATGTAATTCACAATCCTGGCCCAATGGGTGGTTTGAAATATGCGTCTTCACATTGTAAAGAGCTTCTATGGATGTCCTTGAGGTTGGGGTGGGAAGAAGGGTCCTTTGTGCCTAAGAGTAAGTTGCTTGTAGCTGCTGATGGCTCTGCAGCACCCATGGCTGAATGAACCCAGAGACTTGCAAGTTGCAGAAAGGGCCTGCGGGTGGCCACTTGGCCTTGCTGTGCTCTCTCAGGTCAGCCTGGACATCTCCTAGGATCCCTCATTCTACCATGCAGGCCCTCAGACCTATGCAGGTACCAAGCTCCGTGTGTCATCTATTGACCTTAGCAGGTGGTCACCTCCTCTTAGGAATGACCCCTCAAATCACTTCATGGAGCCCGGGGATGTTGCCCAAATGGCTCTGAATCAATCTTCACATTTTCTTCTCTTTTTCTTATAGGACAGCAAGCAGTTGGGAGGAAAGGAAGACGCATTACATAGAGCTCATACATCTGTCTCAGATGTGATTTTCACTGTGTCTCTCTAGATGGTGCCAGGGCACCCACAAGGGACAGTCACTAGGTCCAAATCCAGTCGTCCAGGGAAAAAAACCAAATAAATCTACCAAATCTATGATGATAATAAACATGGAGTAGTCAGAGCCCTAATTCATATAACACCCTGTTAGACTAGCCAGGACCCTAATCCATATGAAACCACATGAATACTTATGTATTTCACCTTGACATAAAGCAAAGGCAACAAATTAATAAACTTGCTTGAACACTCCTACTTTGATACTGTCTTTGGCCTTTCAGGCAGAGCTGTGATGTGCTCCTTTAGGGGATATGTAAGGCCCAATCAACTGGCTTCTGTGCTGGAAAATATCCTAGTCTGGTACTTTCCAGAATCATTTTTCCCCTAAGCAACCATTGTTCCTGCCATAACCCCAAAATAGAGAGTCATAACATCTACATTAGGTAGGAAAAATCTAAATGAAGGTGCTATTTTTCCTCAAAAACATAGATTCATCCTTCTTCCTTCCCCTTTAATCTGAAGAAACTGGTTCTGTTCCCCAGGGCCCTGCTGCCAGCGGTCATATCTTGCACCATTATAATAAAGAATGTAAAGCAGCAGGCGAGAGTAAACATTTCCAAACGATTTATGTCAGAAAACAGGGAAACAATAATACCCACGCAGGCCTTGCTTGGATGTTTGAAGAAACACGTTTTACCTTGACCCATACTGTTGCCACATAACCCCACAGGTGGAGGTGCTGCAGGCTGGACTGCACATTGGATCGGGGACTGCAGGAGTCATGGGCTGGTCTCAGCACAGGGACAAAGCTGCAGCTGATTATCTCTGCTCTTAGCAGCACTTACGTTGTGGCAACAGGGAAAACAGAATAGGTTTTGGCAAACAGGAAGGATACCACGGGGCCAAACGGGACATTTAGAAACAGCCCGAGTGGGAGTGCTCTGAGCCACTTTAGGGCTGATAATGAATTAAACTTTTTTTGGGAAAAGTAAGCTTGGGATTAAAAGAGGGATTTTAACTATTTTTGTCCTACACACACACACACGTTGCAAAACCCCACTCAACATCTTGAAATCTTAGGTGATGCAATTTTTCAAGTTAATCTGCAATGTGTAAAGCCATCAGCCATCGAGAAACACAGGCACCCAAGGAAAATGATGCTGAAGATGGCTGGAAGTGCTCAGTGTGAGAATTTTTTAGGTGGGAGCTCAGGAGATGTTTCCTTGCAGCCCCCAAAGGGGACTGTTTGGGGTCATCCTGTTTATATCAGCTGCTGTCATGATGGATACCACCACATTGGTCTATTTGGAAGGGAGCCTGCATCGATCATTAACAGGTTGGGCATAAGGGGCTGGCAGGGGGCAGTGTGGTCATTTGCATGTGGAAATACAATGCAGAGAGGAAGGGGAGATGGGCCATGTTGTGGGGGACCCCATAGATACATGCAAATGTATCTACATGTACACGTGTATGTATACAGGTCCCTGATGCCTGTATTTCAATTGTTTTCTAATATAGAACCACACGCTCAAGTAGAAGAGGCTGGCCTGGGGGTGTAGCTCAGGGGTAGAGTGTGTGCTTAGCATACACAGGTGCTGGTTTCCATCCCCAGCACTAGGGCAAATAAAAGAAAAAGCAGAAGAGGGTTAAGGTTCCTTTGCTACTGAGATGGATATAGTCTGAGGAATGAAACCGCTTGATGGTTCCAATAGGTCACTGAAAAAAAATCACAATAGCTCTCTTTCTAATTCAATAAATGTGCTGAGGTTGTATAGACCTGGTACTCCGCTTGGTAAGCCTAAAGATAAGTGATATGTAATCCATGCCCCCTGGTCACTTAGATCATGTTGCCCATTAGCAGTCGTACAATGTGGACCAGAGATGAGGTCTGAAAATGGAATCGAAAAATAGACATGCAGTATGCTAAGTATACCACAGAGGAGGATCTGCCTAGGTACAACTTTTCTTTATCATTCTATTAAAAGTAATCCATACTTTTGTTGGAAAAAAATATGAACAGTGGGGAAAAGGTAATGACTCCTCTTGATTTTGTCTCCAATTCTATTAGCCCTTCTACTCTAAGTAACAGACTACCATCTTTTTTTCTAAATACAACAACTTTATACAGTACCTAATAATTTCTGATATGAAAAACATGAGATATTTAATATACTGTCCCTGCCCCTAAAATTTTACTAATTCTATTATTACTTTTAGCATCTATATTATGTATTTGTAACTTTAAATACATTGAATCTTCATTGACTTGATTCATCAACTTGGGATAGCATCTTTTCTGTTGCTTTGACACAAAGTAAGAAAAATCATTTCTTTATTCTTTCCTCAAGTTTCCTTTCTTTTTTTTCTCTCTCTCAACTTGAAACAGCTACACTTTTACTTTTACCATTGCAAAGGTTTAAAATATTCATATTATGTTCAGTAATTATTAATGAGGCATCCTCATTAATATTAATTGAGTTAATCATTTAGTTTCTGGACTTGCCTATAGGTCAATGATAGAAACTATAAACCAATGACCCAAATTTACCGTATCATAATATAAACAGTAGCTACTAAGGGACAAAGTGGCACAAGTGGATCTGTAGAAGGAAATGCCACAGAGGGGGAATGGAGGCAAGGACACCAAGTTTTCATGTCCAGTGGATTCTCATTCTTACCTTCTCTTACACCACTGTGGTCTGTCTCAAGTAAGGGCTAAGCCTGTCCTAAAAGACTGTGTGTGAAATGTACCTGTGCCTGAAATGTATATAGACAGTTTAAAAAAATTAAAATGAGTCAACTGTGACTATACCTTCTAGTCCAGGAAACAAAACATCATCAAAAAGTAACCCAGCCAGGTGGGGTGGCCCACACCTTTAATCCCAGTGGCTCGGGAAGCAGAGGCAGGAGGATCACAAGTTCAAAGCCAGCCTCAGCCAATGCAAGGTACTAAGCAACTCAGTGAGACCCTGTCTCAAAGTAAAAAATAAAAAGGGCTGGGGATGGGGCTCAGTGGTAGAGCACCCCTAGGTTCAATCCCTGGTACCAAAAACCAAAAAACAAACAAACCCAAAAACTGCATCCTGGCCCGGCCCCTGCCAACTGGAACTCTTGTGTCAATCATTCCCTACCTTTTCTGCACAGCTTTCAAAACCCCTGTGTGCAGTGTCTGGTTATTGCTGTTTCTAATCTTTAATCTTCTATTACACTTGGAATCACTTCTATTATACATGGAATCACACTACACATGTTCTGTTAAGACACATCCACACACATACACACTAGTGATAGCCAAATACTTTTTTCTAACAATAACATAGAATGAAATTTCATTAGGGTGTTTGCCTGTCTCTGAGTTTTAATGAGATACATATTCTGTACCTGTTCTTTTGTGTCACTTATTTAAAAAAAAACACTTTTTAGTATTTTTTCATTCATAGAAGCATTTTATTGTTTCAATACAAATAATAAATTTGTATCATAATAAATACAAATCACAAATACAAAATAAAATAACTATTCCCAGGGTTCCCAGTGTTAGCTTTTTATTTTATTTTTTTTTTCTGGTATCTTTGGATGAACTGTAAGTTTTTAATTTCAATGTATTTATATTTATCAATATTTTTCCTTTGACTTTTTTGGCATATTTTATTTAAGAAATGAATCAGAAAAATGTTCTTTTTTAAAAAAATTTTTGTCCTGGGTATTGAAACTAGGAGCACCTTACCACTGAGCCATACTACCCCCCTGACTTTGAACTTGCTATTCTCCTGCCTCAGCCTCTTGAGCCAGTGGGATTATGGATGTGTGCCACTACGTCTGGCTGGAAGAATGTTTTATACTTTCTTTGGAAAGTGTATAGTTTTGCTGGTCTTTTAAAAATACCTGGATTGGTTTTTGCACATGGTGTTGGGTGGGTGTTAATTTCCCTTCTCTTTCTGTAGATAACAAATGATTCCATACCAAGTATTCTGGTATAAGCATTTTAGGCTATAAATTTCTCTCTGATTTACTTTCATTCCCCAGTTTTAACACTAGGTGTTTATGTTACCTTTTAATTGCAAATGTTCACTAATATCTGAAGTACTTCTTTATTTCTAAACCTCTGTTTTCATTCCTAATCATCCTTTGTTTTTTTCTCCTAAATTTTCTGAATCTTCAATCTTCAATGTGTCATTATAAACAGCATAGAGCTGGAGTTTTATTTTAATTCATTTGGACAACATCTGTCATTAAATCATAGCATCTAATCTATTTGTTCAGATTACCGGTTTTATTTTATTTATACCAATATATCTTTCCACACACTCTGATCTTTTTCTAGTCTTTATTTCTTTGAGATAAACTGGTAACGTTTTCATATTCCACTTTTATCTCGGTTTTTGAGTTGTTTTTCTTATTTTGTTGGTAGGTGAAATACCCTTTCTTAGAGTTCATGGTGTTCACTGAATTTATCAAAGTTCAAAGTTAACATTTTTGGGGGCGGGTACTGGAGATTGAACTCAGGGGCACTCGACCACTGAGCCACATCCCCAGCTCTATCTTGTATTTTATTTAGCGTCAGAGTCTCACTGAGTTGTTTAGCACCTTGCTTTTGCTGAGTCTGGCTTTGAACTCAGGATCCTCCTGTCTCAGCCTCCAGAGCCAATGGGAGTACAGGTGTGCACCACCATGTCCGGCCCAAAGTGAACATTTTTATTCTTCTCCCAAATAATTATAGGAACTCAGAGAGATTTTAATTCCCAATTTTCCTCTATTCTATGCCATTGTGCTTGTGTAAATCATACTTTTACTATTTCACAAGATGTTGTTGTATACAGTATTGTCCACACTTTCTCCATGTTTCCTTTCTGTACTGTAGAACCCTTGAAGCTCCCATTTCTTCTGAATGAAGCACATTCTTTTAGCATTCCTTTTTTTGTAGGGTCTACACTTTCCCTGTTTTTGTTTGTCTGGAAACGTCATTCTATATTATTATTTGTTATTGTTTGTAATATACAGAATTTAGTTTGGTAATTATTTCCTCTCAATTGAGTGAAGTTATAAGTTCACCGTTGCTTTTTTTAAAAAAAGATACTAAAAGGTATTTTAAGTTTTCCTCCCCCTTTTTTATGTGTTTTGCAAAAATGGGTCCACATGGATTTCTTTTTATTCATCCTGCTTAATAGTCACTGCATTTCATGAAACTGTGGGCTAGTGTCTTTCAATTCTGGAAAATTTTATTCCTGCTGCTTTCCCCCTCCCTTTCTGGAATCCTAGTTAGACATTAGATTTTACCACTTCATCCTTCCTGTTGCTCAACTTCCATGTCTTGTTTTCCATACCTGTCTCTCTAGGCTGTATTCTAGGGTATATATATATTTTTTTTAATTTACATTTCCATTCTGTCATTCTCTCTCTCTGATGTGCTGTTAGACCTGCCCGTGGAAATTTTAATTTCCATTATTACTTTTTCATTTCTAGAAATGCGGGCTGCTGGCACTTCTTCGAGTCTTGCTGTTTATCATATTTCTAATCTTCTCTTATATTTCTCGAAATTAAGCTAAGGCTCTTATTTCGTATTCTAGGCTTGATAATCCATACATCTGCATTCGGTGTCTGAAAACCCCAATGTCTGAGTAAGGAATCTAATTTCGGTCTCTCTCATTTCCTCTCATGCAAAGTGTTTTTGGTCACAAATTGCTCTTTCCCAGGGGAAACTACTGATTTCTAATGCTTTTGTCCCCTTCCTTTTCTACGATCCCTAATAGCTGGATTTTAACCTTCTGGGTACCTTAACCCCTTTCCATAGTTCCCACCTGTGTTTCAGAAAAGAGCTTTCAACTTTATATTCTGGATCCCAGATTAGAGCTACTACTACCCTTTTCTTTTTCTTTTTTTAATTTTTGTTGGTCACATTTTGAATTCTCAAGGGCTCATTTATTCAGTAATGACTTTTTGCATGACAGTCTCTTTGTTCTTTCTATTTAATATGAATAATCTCAAGTCTTTCTGAAGACTGTAAGTATAGCTGGAACTGTTTTCTTCTCCTTGTGCTAGCTAGACTTCCTCTGGGGTCAGTCCTTCTACCTGGAGCTCAAGTCTATATTTTCATGTTCAAATAACAGGTTAGTAAAAACAAAGGTACCTGGTGTGAATTTCCTATCTGACTACAGTGTTTCTCTAACACCATCTTGCACTAGGGAGGGATGATTTAGGGCAAATGTGTAAGACGACAGGCTTACACATTTGTTGATTAGAAAGCAAGAGAAAAGAGGCCCAGGCTGGGAGCCCAGGGCCTTCCCCACTTCTTCACTTAGAAGCACGGCGTGCTTGCTTTGTGCATGATGAGCTTGTGTTGATTTCCCTCTTGAGAAAAGAAATGACTCTTCCGTCACTATCTATGTCTATATTCAAGGTCTGGTATTGTCTTAGAATGTCTTCTTATATATTGTTCCCAAGTAGGAATTCTAGTCACTTGTCTTTTTTTATCACTGTTTTTTGTTCTTTGGGGCCTTTTGCAAGGAAATGAGACAGAAAGTGCTGTATGAGAATTAGCTAGGGTGGGGTGCATCACTGAAGCGGGGAAAGATGGCCCAGGGGTCCCCATGCAGCTGCCACCCACATCCATTCTACTGTGGTTTCAAGGAAATCTAGCCTGTCCCGGGGCCACCAGGGCTGTCCCTCACCACGAAGGCTTATTCCTCTTTTTTCTTTCTTTTCCTGGGTCATGACTTTCCTTGCTCAGGATTATTTTTCAGTAGGGTCCTATTTACTTTCTGTTTTCCAGACACTCGGCTAAATGTCTGGTTTGCAGAGGGCAATCTTCCCTGTTCTCAGTGCTGTTGAGGATTGATGTCCACCTTTACAGCTTTATGGTTCTTCAGTGGGGATTCCGAAGGGAAGGGGAGAAGCGCTTAAACTCAACCCGCCACCTGGACGTTGGAAAGTGCAGACACCCATCATCTATATTAATACTTAAATACTCTGTGGGATGTTTATAGAATCTTAAAATAGAAGCTTGTTAAGCATTGAGAAATTTATCTTAGAAAAACGTCTCACTGGAACCTGTGCCCCAAGCAAAGCCCGACAGAGGTTGGGGTAATTGATCCAACCTGCACACGTTGTTCCCCTCTGCTGACCTTCCTCTACCTGTGCATTAAAACCTTGGAACTTTCCAACACATTTATCTGAGCATCTGTCCTTGCCAACACTTCTTCTTCTCCTATTCTTTTTTTTAAAAAAATGTTTAATTTTATTTTAAATTGCATAGTAAAATCATTCTAAATAATGTGAAATTAGACATTTAAAAAAATTTTTTTAAGAAGCATATATTCTTGATTTCATGTTAGCTTAATGCACACAAACATAAATAGGCATCTACTAGCTCCGAGTGGTCTTCGTCTTCAAACATAACTCTATCACTGGCAAAGGGCGCTCACAGCTCACAAGCAGCTGGAGAAACTAACAAAGCCCTGGTTTTGCAAGGGTGCTTTTAGGACGGGAACAGAGTAGCTCCTGCATCTTTAATGCCCCCAGACAACTGTAATACCAATTAATACTGCCACAAGAGAATGAAAACAGTGCTTTACAGGATGCTCTCTTCTTTGATGACAAAGCCTACATGTTTTGTTAGCCACCAATTCAGTGAGTAACTTCCTTCCTAAATAGCGCAGCCTATTTCTGAATGAGGACATGGCATACATAACTGGCAAGTGGTGACATTCCTTCATGGATTCTGAGGTCTTTACCTTGAGGTCTTTGGATTGTTTTTTTTTTCCAGTTCATTTTCTTTAATTTAGTCAACTCTCTATTTGCCTTTTAGTTTTTTTCCCCACCTCCATATGTACCAGTGACCAATTAACTGTTAATAAAGCATGCTATCTCCTATGATCACTCTGAAATTCAGCATTTTATGGTTTGGTCTTCCTTCTACTGAGTGTGAGCACTCAAGGTCACTCAAGGTCATTCATTTAGGCAACACGTACTTGAGCCAATGGCTGTTTCCTACTTGAATATGTTTCCTGATGACTTTCTTTTAAACCAACAGTCTGTTGCAAGCTCATCCTCTCCACCCTCCAACCCATCTTTTCCCTGTGAGTATAAAGTTAGGAAGAGAAGACTTTCTTACTTGGATTATTGTGTCCAGAGGATACAAGCTGAGAGTCCTGAAAGAAAAAGAAATATCAATTAATTTTCTTACTTTGATTTTCCAAACACTAGTTGAAAAGGAGATAGATGACTGGTCATTCAGAACCAAGTCATTGCTCCTAACTTTAGCAGCCACTATAACAAGGCCCATTTGCATAAATGTGCTTGGTAAGCCGCTCTGGGAATGCAGATCACAATCACCTTTATTCTGTAGCACTGACCTTATGTTTTGTCTATTGAGGGAAAGGTGACATAACATAAAATCAACCATTTTGAAATGAACAAACAATTCATTGGAATGTAGTACATCCCCAACGTTGTACAAGCATGACATCTATCTAGCTACAAAGTATTTCCATCTTTCTAAAATAAAATCTCATGCCCATCAAGCAAGATCTCCCCATTTCCCCTCTCCTCGGGCCCCAGCAATGAACAATTTTATCTGTGTCTATTCTATTCCAGATATTTCGTGTCAGTAGAGTCATATGACCTAGCTTCGGTCACTTAGCAGTGTTTTGGAGGTTCACTTCTTCTTGTAGTATATATCAGCGTTTCATTTCTTTTTATGGATTAATAATATATTTACACATATTTGCTTATCCATGCACCTGTTGGTGGGTACGTGGACTGTTCTCATCTGTGGCTACTTGGAACATTGCTGCTGTGACCACGCGTGTGCAGGTCCTTGCTCTAGCCCCCGTTTTCAGTCCTTCTGGGTTATGTGTGTACAAAAGGAATTTTGGGGTCATCTTATGGTAGCTCTCTGAAAATTTTTGAGGAATTGTCAAACTATTTTCCACAGTGGCAGAAACATTTTGGGTTCCTACCAGGGAAATGTAAGGGCTCTAATTTTCCTAAATCCTCATCAACATTTATTATTTTTCATTATAATAATAAAAAATAAAAACCTAGGGACTGGGGTTGTGGCTCAGCGGTAGAGCGCTCGCCTAGCATGTGCGAGGACCTGGGTTCGATCCTCAGCACCACATAAAAATAAATAAATAAAATAAAGGTATTGTGTGCAACTACAACTAAAAAATAAATATTAAAAAGAAAAACCAAAAAACCTAGCCATTCTTGAGGGTGTGAAGTGGAATTCCTCGTTGTGATTTTGACTTGTATTTACCTAAAAACTAACCACACTGAGCATCTCTTCATGTGTTTATTGCCTGTGTGTAAGTCTTCTTCTATTAAATACCCAGTGGAGTCCTTTGCCTTTGATTTAATACAGCTCTTTGCCTTTTTGAGGTTGAGTTGAAAGAGTTCTTTATATTCTGGATACTACACTCTTCACAGATATATGATTCGCCAATCTTTTCTCCCATTCTGTCAGCTTCCTTTCCCCTGTATTGATAGTATTCTTCGATGCACAAGTTTTAAATTTTGATGAAGTTTAATTTATCCAGTTTTCCTTTCATTGCTCAAGCTTTTCGGGCCATAGCTAAGAATTCCTGGCTGAATCCAAGCCACAAAGATTTAACCTTCTGTTTTCTTTTATGAAGTCTGTGGGTTTAGTTCTATATTTAGTCACTGGTCTATTATATTATTGACTTTGAGTCTCAGCCACTTCCTTTTGAAGGCACCTGTACTACCAGCATCTCTGCAGATGAGGCTGGCCCCTCTCCTGTCAGGAACATTGCTGACAAGCTGTTGTCAATCTCACAGCAGTGGGTGAAAAGATTATTACAGATATCCACTTATCTACTCTGATGTAAATCCAGTACTTTGCAGTATCTGAAGTCTAGTTACTACTCAGATAAATGGGATTAAGCCTGATTTTATTTATATTAAAGTGATATGTGAATTTTGTCTTGAGAATTCACATCCTCTTTCCTTGAAAGATCCTTATTTGATGTGAAATATAAGGGGGAGTTATAAAATGAATTGAGGTGGTAGGAATATAAAAAAAATAAGTAGCAATGCATAAAATCCAACAAAACTCCTTTATAATTCTGGCATGTGGAATGAAAATCCAGTGAAATGGAATTACTCTCCAGTATATGGCTTAACATATTTTACCAGAATTTTGCTCTATGAATACAGTTGTTAAAGGGCAGAGGTATCATTTAATGGCACTTGTGGCATATTCAATTCTAATGAATAATGTCTGTTTTAAAAAGGAATTCCACTGAAATAGTACAAATGAGCCAGTCTGGTGGGCGAGGATTTGGAGGAGAAAATTGGGAAGGGATGGGATTCCCACTCTATTAGGCAGTCTGAGTCATGCGCGGATGCCTAGTAAACCTCTTTCAGAGTTGGTAGTAATGAGCTGTTCAGCTGATGGGAAAGAACAAAGTTCAACTTTCACTCTGAGATTCTGTTTTGGAAAGAGTGACATGAAGATGAAATAGTGTCACTGAAGTGATGGCCAACGTGAAATCTGCAAAAACGACTCTGGCCCAGTTTGTAGAGGTGCTGTTATGAAGAAGAGACCCACAGGCAATTTCCCCAAGGGCACCAGTGAGTTTCCTTCCTTTCTGGTTAACTTACAGTTTATATCTGAACAGAAATTACTTTTAGTTTTCATGTTAAAAATACTTTGAGTCCCAGTGAGTTAACTCCTCTGTCCTGTCTGTAGATTTTGGCCCTTTGGAGCCATCCTGTCCTAGACGGGGGAAGACTCATTTGTCACCAATGAGCAGGAACAGCAATTGAGATGGTGCCTGTGTTAAGCTCATTCTTTAAACAAACAAGAAAAAAAAATGAAAGAAAGAATAGCAGAAAATTTCCTATGACCTTGCTCATACTAATAAGAAACAGAATTTTTTATTTCTTGAAGCATCCTAAAACTCAGGCCTTAGATGATGACTGTTGACAGACTCTTTCAGCAGAGAACCAAAGATATGCTTCCAGACAACCTGCTTCAGTATAACCACTTCCTATAAGCTCACTCTCCATGACTTAGAAGAGCATCTACAATGGGAATTTACTCTTCTCCACCTTTAAATCTGGAAGTCCCAACACCCAGTCTCTTCTTTGGCATCCGAGAATATTAAAACTCCTTTAAAAGGTGGATAGTAGGGGATAGGAAAGGTAGCAGAATACAACAGTCATTAATATGGTATTATGTAAAAATATGGATGAGTAACCGATGTGATTCTGCAACTTGTATTTGGGGTAAAAAATGGGAGTTCATAACCCACTTGAATCAAATGTATGGAAGATGATATGTCATGAGCTTTGTAATGTTTTGAACAACCAATAAAAAAAAAAAAAGGTGGCATTTAGTTGAGAAGTAAAATTCACACAAATCATTTTGCTGAAGGCAGAAATAACCAGGCACACTGTTTCCAAGAAAGCCCTTCAATGAAACACCATAACAGATCCCACATTCCATTCAATGGAGCCTGTCAAACTATTTGAGGCCTCATTATCTTATATACTACCCTGAAAGAAAATTGTTGCCAACTAATTGCAGCACTTCACCACTGAGCCACATCCCCGGCCCTTTTTATTTTTATTTATTTTTTTTAAATTTTGAGACAGGGTCTTGCTATGTTGCTCAGGGCCTCACTGAGTTGCTGAGGCTAACTTTGAACTTGCAATCCTCTTGCTTCAGCCTCCTGAGTTGCTGGGATTACAGGTGTGTGCCACTACACTGGGTTTGTGGTTGTTTTTTTTTTTAATATTTTTTTAGTTGTTGGTGGACACAATACCTTTTTATTTTATTTATGGGGTTCTGAGGATCGAACCCAGGGTCTCACACATATGCAAGACGAGTGCTGAACCGCTGAGCCCCAGCCCCAGCCCCTTGTGGTTGCTTTTGAAGCACAGTAGCAACCCAAGGAGGAAGCTGTATAATAAACTTTCCATCTCCAAACACTTTCCTTCCTACTTCCAGGTGCTCATTCTCCCTGGAGTGTATAAAGAGAAAGGCGGTAGGATGGTAGGATTCTTGTTTCTATGGTGATGCTAGAACTCCTCTGAACAAACTTTAAAAAAACCATCAGCAAGAATATTTTCAGACCGGGCCTAACCCACCGATTCAGCATCCACGGCCTGTGAAATGTCCCTGGGTTTGGACATACCCATTCTGGAGAATGGAAAACATTCTACACTTTTGAGTTCTTTATTTGCATTTCAAAACTTATGAGATTGATGCACAATGAAAGGGGAAAGGGCAAGCAAATTCATTTTCTTTTCTCTTGGTTGAAATACCTGATAATGGCAGCCAATTTAAAGGAGAAGGGCGTTCTTAGCTTTACCAAATTCAATTACTTTTGAGATTTGAAGAATGAGGCAGAAATGCCTCGTAGTGTTTGTCCAGGGAATTGTGATTCCAAATCAAGTCCTCAGAGAGTAGGAAAAAAAAATAAGCAAGTTCATTATCAATTGACTTTGCTATATATTATGTCCTTCAATACTCAGACAGAGTGAGGGAATTCTCGGAAGTATTTAGCTAATTAATTTAGTGGTACTGGTAACTCAGAATGCCTAGTAAAATCGACTTTTCCTTGTGAGATCAAATGGTTCCCTTAATCTTAATAAGGTCTTAATTTCATTGTTTATTAGTCATTTTGGAGAAAGCAACTCAAATTCCATAAGCAACTCTAGCTCAACACATTCACATTCGTTATAGTGATAATCTCAAACATTAACAGTCTAATTAATCAGTTTCAATGTCCAGCTGCCAGAATGCTCCTTTGTTGAGATAAAAGGTTAAAGGTCGTGCATCTGAGGGATGGGAATGTAGCTCACTGGTAGAGTGTGTGCCTAGCCTGTGCAAGTTCCATTCCCAGCAACCCCCATCCCCAGCAACCCCCCATCCCCACCAACTCCCCATCCCCACCAACTAGAGGTCCACTCTCTGGGAAAGTCAAAAACAGTCTTTGGCATAGCCAGAATAAGCACCCCCAAAGATGTCTGTCCCCCATTCCAGGAACCTGCAATATGTACCTGATATGGAAAAAGGTACTTTGTAGATGTTCTGAAATAGGAGATTATTCAGGTAAACCAAATACAATATCAAGGTCTTTATAAGGAAAGCAGAGGTCTGAGTGACACGAGCCTTGAGTATGGAAGCCTCTAGAAGCTAAATAGGCAAGCAAAGAAATTCTTCCCTAGAGCCTTCAGCCTGCTGCTCCTACGCCCTGAGTTTACCTCAATGAACCCCAATTCAGATTTCTGAAAGCATGTGTTGACTTAAGTCACTAAGCGGGTGGTCACTTGTTACAGCAGAAATAGGAAGCTCACTCAGCCTTCTTTCATTTGTACACGGTAAACCATCAGTGCTTACGGCAAGCCTTCTGAAAAATGGCACTATTAAAATCATGCCATGTTCTTACGGTTTGTGAAATCACTTATTCTTTCTTCTTGGGCAAGGCGAAAAGATCTAGAGGTAAAATATCATCTCCACGCAAATCCTGGCACCCTGGAAAATGTCTTATGGAGAAGTCCTAAATAGGGCACACTTTCCACTGACATCCAGAATTCTGTGCTTTATCCCGTAGGATGGATAATAATGAATGAAAAAATAAGAAACTTCCAACTACTTTCTGTTTTTAAAATTGAAAGTTTTTACTTATACTCAGGTTTCTGTTAGATCTCTAGGAAGTATTTGTGTTGCATAGCTGAAACTTCACACTCTTTGACCAACATTTCTTTTTTTTTTTTGTACTGGGGATTGAACTCAGGAGCACCTGACCACTGAGCCACATCCCCAGCCCTATTTTGTATTTTATTTAGAGACAGGGTCTCACTGAGTTGCTTAGTGTCTTGCTTTTGAACTCGAGATCCTCCTGCCTTAGCCTCCTGAGCCGTTGGGATTACAGGCCTGAGCCACCGTGCCCAGCTTGACTAACATTTCTTACTACCCGTGCCCTCATTCCTGGCCACCACCATTCACTCTGCTTCTATGAGTTTGATTATTTTGGATGTTACATATAAGTGAGATCATGCAATATCTGTCTGTGTCTGACTCACTTCACTTATCATAAGGCCTCAAGTTATCTATCTAACTATCTCTGTCACATACACAAACGACACACACATACATGAATGATATGCAGTATGTTATATCAAAAATCTAACTATAGCTAGTGATACTATATTGTGTTCTCTTGAAATTCACTAAGAGGACACTTGCTAGGATCACAAAGGAAAAAAAGTGTAACTATGTGAGATGACAGATACGCTAATTAGCTTGTGATGATTATTTCACAACATATATAAATACCAAAACATTAAGTTATTTGCCTCTAATACATACCATTTTTATTTGTCAACTGTATCTCAATAAAGCTATAAAAATGAAATCTTTGCATTAGTGATTTAAAATCTCAATTTCACCTCAGGAGTTGTTATTGCTTCAGTATTTACATGAAAGAAAACAAAAGGAATTTTGAGAAAGTCACAACAAAGTATTTTTTGGTATGTGCTCAATTATATCAAAACTTACACCAGGGGTATATGTAAATGACAAATAAGTTTACTTGATTGTGTTGAGGGTCAGCCATTATTTGGTTCAGATTACATGCAAAGATTGTAAGGTTTCTTCATTTCATTCTAGGTGTGGCAGGATGCCATTAGAAATCCATGATGCAGAAATTATCCAAAATTTGCCTGCGTTCAAAGAGCTAGGAGTCTGGGAACTTCAGGTGCATCCAGTTTACACTCCACCAATGAGATGCCCCATTCATTCATTAGCTGTTGTCTGCTAAGCCTGAACTGTTTGCTATCTGATTCTTCACTGAAAGGGTCTTGTCAAATTCTGTTTCCTGTTGAGATGGGGCCTCAGTGTGTGGCCCAGGCTGGTATCAAACTTGTGGGCTCAACCAATTCTCCTGTCTCAGCTTCTGCAGTAGCTGGGACTCCAGCCGTGGGCCACCCACGTCCAGCTGTCTACCTCTGACTTAAACAATAAGGTATTGGGAAAGAATTCGATAAATAGGGTGGAAAAACAGAATAGTGAATCCTGAAACAAATCCACATATTTACTAGAAATTCAACTATAGACACAGCGGGTATTTCAAAGAAGTGGGAGAAAAGTGCGCTTTCCGTATGTTGATAGTGTTATAACAATTGACTAATCTTAAAAAACCTAAAACTAGAATCCTAAGTCACACCATCCTCAATGTATTTAGGTCTAAGAACATACCACCAAAGAATGAGAATAAAAATAGAGAACATTGTTAGAATGTTGGAAAAGGGAACATCATTTTTCTCTGACATAAAAATTAAACACTTTTCTAGGATAAAAGGCACATAAATAAGGTTACAAAAATAGGTGACATTCTATATAATAGACAAGTGAATAAGATATAAGGAGTTCCTACAAATCATTTTTATGAAGTGGCAGTGGATATGAATGGGCTATTTGAAAAGGAAAAACAGTCACTGCTCAAGCTTAGAAGTAATTGGGGAAATGCAAATTAAAACAATGAGATATCAACTTTTCATCCATCATGCAGACACAATGATAAAAACCCAGATAATATTAATCATTGGCTAAGATACATAAAATGAACTCTTGAAACACAGCCAAGCGTAAATGGTTTCTGAGGGCTCCAGCGCCCTTCGAATTCCCAGGCTGGGGTGTCCTTACTGGGGACAGTCGATAGCAGCAGACAAAGAGGCATTTACAAAGTGTCTGTGGTACCAGAGTGTGTAATTAACAAACCACAGACAATCTCAAAGTCTACCAAAAGGAGCTCGATCAAATAAAACATGGCAAACCCATCTTACACAATATTTTGCTGCGGTTTAGAATTCTTTTCTTTTTTCTTTTTCTTTTGGTACTACAGATTGAATCCAGAGGCACTTTACCACAGAGATACATCCCCAGTCCTTTTTATATTTTATCTTATTAAAAATTAATTAATTAATCAATTTTTAATTAATTAATCAATTAATTAATTTTACAGTAGAATGCATTTTGACCTATAGCACACAAATGGAGCACAACTTATCATTCCTCTGGCTGTACCCAGCTCAGCGTCACACCACTAGTGTAACCACACATGTATATAGGGTAATAATGTCTGTCTCTTTCTACCCTCCTTCCCTTACCCACAACCCCACCCCCTCCCCGGCTCCCCTCTACACAAACCAAAGTTTGGAACTGGAGAATATCATGCTAAGTGAAATAAGCCAGTCCCCCCAAACCAAAACCTGAATGTTTTCTCTGATAAGTGGATGCCGATCCATAGTGGGGCGGGGAATAGGGAAGAATGAAGGAACTTATATTTTATTTTGAGACAGGGTCTCACTAAGTTGCCAAGGCTGGCTGGAATTTGTGATCCTCCTGCCTCAGCTTCCTGAGTACTTGGAACTATAGGCATGTGCCACCATGCCGGGCTTTTGCTGCTGTTTAGAAGGATAAAGAAATCTCTGTAGGTTCACTTGGAAAGAGCTCCAAGTGCACTTTGCCAAGGGTAATAAAACCAACTTAGACTGGAATTCACCGTTGTGATAGAAGCAATGAACAATTATTTCAGCAATTCATTCTAGAAGGTTGTGATCTTGATATTTAGCAGTGATGTTTATGTATTGTGGCTATTTGTAAAAAATCAATCCTTGAATAAAAATGTTTTTATTACTCTACAATGTAAGGGTTCATATATATATGAATATAGGTGACTAAAATGCACAGGGACAACAACTGACACTTTATTTTTATGTGGTTATTGATGAAATTTTTTATCTTATTTATTTATTTGTATGTGGTGCTGAGAATCCAACCCAGTGCCTCATACATGGTAGGCAAGTGCTCTACCACTGAGCCACAATCCCAGCCCGCACACCAAACTCTTGAGAGTAATTCCTGGGATTTGAAATAGAATCTAACTGGGTTCTCTGGGATTTTCATATTTTGCTCTTTCCACTTGTATAACTTGATCTTAATAATAAACATATAATTATATGTCAGTTACATGATTAGAAAAAAATCAAAGAAAGCCTATTAGACTTATGTATAACTTAAATATAAATATATTTTGTGACTGATATTTTTTTGTATACTATTCCTTAAAAAATACAGAAATCTTTGTTTGTTTTTTGTTTTTTTGTATCAAGAATTGAACCCAGAGGTTCTAACCAACTGAGGTACATTGCTAGTCCTTTTATTTTTATTTAGAGACAGGGTTTCACTAAGTTGCTTAGGCCCTTGATAAGTTGCTGAGGCTGGCTTTGAACTCATGATCCTCCTGCCTCAGCCTCCTGAGCCTTTGGGATTACAGGTATGTGCTCGACTAGAAAACATTTTGTAGCTCCTAGAAAATATTTCAAACTTTAAAAAAGATACCCAAGATACATTAAATACCACATGCCTCTAATTCTAAGATATTCATTTTAAGATAAAATCAATTTAATAACAGATTTTGAAGGAAAAAAACAACCCCAGGATATATAATCACATTGAATGCATAAAATGTAAGATGCATTTCAACATCACAAATGTTCTTAGATCATGTTGACAGTTATAATAATCACAGTTTGAAGGATACAAAAGTATAGGTAATTGAGATAGCAAGCTCAATTCTCCCCCTTTGAAGAATAAATAAGTTCTTTTTTTTTAAAAAAAAAAATATTTTTAGCAGTAGATGGATAGTAATGACTTTTATTTATTTATTTATTTTTATGTGGTGCTGAGAATGGAACCCAGGGCCTCACACATGCTAGGCAAGTGCTCTGCCACTGAGCCACAATCCTCGCCTTACAAATATGTCCTTGGAGATTGCTCAAGATTAGATTAACGTGCTTTGGGCAGGAATATTTACGTGGGAGAAGCCCATGAAGGGTCAACCGATGGTCCACCTCGCATGTCTGCATGAGCACAGCGTATTCCCGAGTGATGCAAGAGCTCACCTTATTTGGAAATGGAAATTTGCTTGGTTCCACTTTGCCGGGTGCTTGAACAGCAGACAGTGGTGGAAGCCAGGTCATCTCCTAAAGGGGATAAAGACAAAGAGCATTGAAGGTGAGATCAGCAGCACATGCAGAGGCTCCGCAAGCCAGCCTCATCAGGCAGTGAAATGACAGGGGTGAATAAAGGGTTGAGAGGGTTTATTATTTTTTAAAGATGGAAAACCCACATTTAGGATCCGCTTTCATAATTTGACCAATTCTTGTTTCCATGTCTATCTCCAGGCTCCCTCTATGCCTAGAAAAAGAAAAGCCCATCCTATTTTCTCTTGGTGTGAGCCCCCAAGTAAAGGGACAACCCAGTTCTATGGGAGATGCTGTACAGACTTGGACCCGAATCCACACAATTCACAGGAAGTTTCTGAAGGAAAGCACACATCAATTTTAACTTTAGGGGTCTTTAGTAGGGGAGTTATTATTAGAGATAAAGCTCCCAATAAGTTCCGCATGTCACTTTGGTGTCTATAACAAGGTCATCCATGGAGAAGTGAAAACAACAAATCCCATGCATGCAGTAGGGAATGGTGTCACTCTATCAGCCAGTATCGAGCGCCATTTGAGTCCCAGATGCAGTATCTGCAATGTGCCTTTTGTGCTCCCCTGTCACTAGCTCTGAGCGAGGGAGGGAGGGGTTGTCTTATTCATTTCCAGTATTCTCCTTCATCTCCTGGAAGACAGTTGCCATCAATAACTGATCACAGGACTCAACTGACTTGGGTCGGCCAGGAAGTCCACGTGGGGCTTACAAACAGGGACTGAGCCAAGCAATCAGAGAAGCTGCAGGGCATTCCTTTATAAGGAGAGTAAAACCTGCCGTCTCCTGAGCGGAGGACATGATGTCCTCACCTCCCTTTGGTAGGTGGGTGGGGTGTGGGAAAGGATTCACTTGGGACATGAAAAGACAGTCCTGTGCCTTCTTTCTCTGGGAAGTCCCTCTCCCCAGAAGCTCAGAAGGGCAGAACCACACAGAGAGCAGAGGGAAGGTGAGCGAGTTCCAAGCTGCTCTGGGAGGATCTATAGACCCTACGCCCTCTCTTCCTGGTCATGGCACCAGCTACAGCCAACAGGGGGGGCTAAACACATACGCTTTGCAGGTGTCCCTTCTCTGGTCTTGGTCACCAAGGTTTTCCCTGGAAAGCAAAGGAGGATCCAGTGACCAGTTTTGTCCCCCTCTCTTCCCGTCTCTTGCTCTCCAAGTATCTGCCAGTGCCTCATGTCCCCTTGGAGGGATTTTGCAGGGTGGCCATGTTTGTACCCAGAGTGGAATCAGACTTTGTCCATGGAATCAACGAGCTAGTCATCCTCAGGGAGGGGCTGGCCTTGTAGAGGAGGAGGTCAGATTTCACTGGGATTGCTGCTACCCAAATAAGAAAGATATTTACCCCCCTAACCTGTCCTTCCTGCAGTGTGGCTCTCTCCTGGTGCCATCTCTCCTCTTCAACAATGTTTCTGTTTCTTGTCTTTTACTGAAATTGTTGCTTAGGATATATATGTGTTTGCTCCAAGTGGACTCGAATCTTTTGTAGAGGAGATTAGTCATCAATTACAAATGTTGATTTACAAATTACCACTTGAACTGATTTTTCCTTTCCTCTCTGTGGACTGTCTGATGTGTCCCTGAGGCCATCCCACTCACAGCCAGCCGCTCCGTAGCTTCCTTTGCAATCATTCTTTGGCTGACACAATTTAGACTGTGTGATCCTCTGGGGCCAGAATTGATAAACACTAAGTAATTACTCACGATTAAACAGTAGCCTTGCAGATACAACCCAAGTATGTCCATGTTAACTTTGCACAAATTATTTTATGATTCCATCTGTGTATCAACATGCCTCATATCTAGTCATCTTATGTTTGACTGCTATTAAAAAAATCACAAAAAGACAAACTGCTCTTTTATTGTGTTCTGTAGCTACTCAGAAATAAGTGGGATAGAAAGCTCACAAAAATAGTAGTACTTTCAAAAGGACACTTCCTAGGCCTTCTTACAATTCTTTACACTTTCAGGTTGAAATTTGTTTAATATATACTCTTTATATAAAAGGGAAATAGCAGACCAGCTTTAAGAGTACACTAAGCTGTGATCCATGATGGTAGAAATGATGTCCTCCTGGTCTTTGTATCTTAATCCATCCCTGACCACCAGCTCTGCCCCTGAAGGAACATTCACTGAAGGTTAACTGTGAGCAGGCACAGTGCTTGTGCCTTGCATACATGAGATGCTCAACTAAGGCACCATCTATTGAGTTTGAAAGTTAGGATATCATCCTTGGTTATGGTCATAACTAGTACTTATTCTACAGCCCTAGTTATGCTTATAATCTTTCCATTTCTTCCTTCCTTCTTCTACTCTCTCCCATCCATTCATCCATCCTCATAAACAAATGCCACAGGAGGGAGATGCTATTTTTGTTTCGCTTGCTGTCCTCCTGAAAATACCCCTTCTCCTTTGAGACTCTGATCATGAGCTTCTTTATTCATTAAAGACGAACTTCATCTCTCTCCCTGCTCATCCCACCCTTTAAACCAGTCTAAGGGTACCCTCCTGCACCCCTTCCTTTGCTCACGACCTTCAAAAGATTTACCTATTGACTTTTAAGGGCAAACTTGTAGAAACCCCCAAGCATTTCATGCCACCTTCTCAAACTGTTCTTCTATCTCCACTCCACCTCAATTTTTTACAGCCCTGACCTTTGGATTTTTGTCTTCAAGAGCCAGAATCTGGGTTCTTCCTAGTGTAACCTGAGCTGGCTCATTTGATGGCCTCTCCAATTCCTATTTATCTAGATCATCCAGGAATCTGGCCCTGAATTGATCCTGAAGTCCCATGTCCAATACTGACCACCTAACTGACCTCTTTGCTGGCTTTCCCAAGACCCTCCAGCGTGGTGGGAATCACTCGTAGGCCTAGTCCACACTCCCCCAAGTCTCTAGCTTGGGATCAAGCCCTCATCTGGCTCCTCTGCTCAGGAAGGCTGCTGTGCACTGTGGTGGTCACATGGATTTGTGACATTGACTTCCCAAGGAGGCTCTCTGTGTGGCTAGGTAATCCTTGTATTTGCTCACCATCTGTCCTTTCTTCCAAGTTCCTAGACAATATTCCTACATTTTGTGATCCTCCTTGAGCCTCACTTTGATTCTTGTTCTCTCACTACAGGTGCCCTTGCCTCTTATATTATTGAAAAAGAAATAAAACAAAACGGATATTCAGAAGTTTCAGTATTCCCCAAGGACAGATCTGTTGGCATTCATGGTATTCATTCGCCACCCCCTTCCTTCCCTCTGACCTGACTAAGGAGGGACCAGTCCCAGGCAGTCCCAGGTGATCCCCACCCATGGCCTCCATCTTGTCTGTTCCTCTGTCCTGAGATCTGGTTCCCTCGACACCCCACTGATTTTCTTCTAACTTCAACCTTTCTTCTCCACTGGCTTCTTCCCCGTGAATGACACCCGGAGGCCTCAGCCCTTCCTGATCCTGTATCCCTCCTCTAACTACCCTTTATTTCTCCATTTCATGTTAATAGCCAACTTTCTCAAAGTGTACCAAGGACTTAGAGGCTCCTTTTTCTAAAAACATCACCTCTTGACTTGACCCTGTAAATGTCCAATGGGTAAAAAAGCCAGATAAAGCACTTGGCATCTCTGCTTCCATTTTGCACCTGTCTCCTTTGTTCTTAGTCACCTTGGATTCTAGGAACAACAGGTCTGAGTGATATGCATCTTGTGAAGAGGTGAAACTATCCCCCAGGTGACAGTGACTTTCTTGTCCCAGACAAGGCCTGGCTGAACAATCCTGAGATAGTCATCCACAGAACAGTTGGACCAAGACCACTTGCCTCTGTATATTTCTGGTCCCCTTGGTCTATATAGACCAGGAAGCTCACATTAGCACCCCCAGAGACAGGCTGCAAACGCTTGTCCCTTTGTTTTTCTGACATACATATACATATATACGGTTTTTCACCATTACTTTTCCTTTTGTTTTTTGGGGTAGGTGGCTGGACCTGATTGGTTGGGATCTTCAGAATTCCTGGGCCTAGGTCTCTGGTAACAAAAGAACGTTTTCTATCTGTTGTTTTGATACCTGCATAGATTCTTTCCCCTTTCCTTCCTTCCTTCCTTCCTTCCTTCCTCCATCCATCCATCCCTTCCTTCCTTTCTTCCTTCCTTCCTTCCTTCCTCCATCCATCCATCCCTTCCTTCCTTTCTTCCTTCCTTCTTTCCCTCCCTCCCTCCTTCCTTCCTTTCTGTCTTTTCTGACTTATTATGTAAAAAAATGTTTTGCTGTAAATTATGCACATAATTTGTCTATAACATTGTGTGTATAAAGTTTAAGAATAATGAAATGGATACCCGTGAATTCACGGCCCACCTTCACATGATTAAGACCTTCTCATCCATTTTTCAAAGGAACCGGCTCTGAGGGAGGTCCTCCTGATTGCCAAGTCCTTGAGATCCCCTGAATGCTCCGGAAATGTCTATCCCAGCTCCTGTGATGTCAAGTCTCCTCGCATCCCCACCTCTGGGCTTTCTCCCCCACCCCACCCTTTCTTTCCTGCGCAGTCTTCTCCCTCACTGTTTGAATGTTTTGTGTCCAGCCTCTTTCCTGCTCCCTTTCCTTTTCCTGGTGATCTTGAATACCACTGTGGCTTTAGAAATCATTTAGCATGTGTGTGATGCTCAAGTATATCCAGCTCCACTGCCCACCCAGGGGCCTACTAAACCCCTCAACCCAGGTATTCTTTAATCGGTTCAAACTCTAGAGCTTTAAAACAGAACACTAATCCCCCCCCCCCCCCCCCAAATTTCCTCTTCTTGTATTGTATTGTCCTGGTTAATGGCACCAATGTCTATTAACTCTTCCAGTCAGAATCCTTGCAGTCCCCCTAGACTCCTTCCCCTTTGTCACTCCTTCCCCCAGGAGTAATAGTTCATATTGATTAAGTGCCTAGAATATAAAATGTTTTACACAATTTATTTAACATCAGTTCCTAATGACCCTAAAGGTAGACTTATTATTTCCT